GCTATATATGTAATATTCTTCGTGTCACAAACTCACCAGCCAGCAGAATTCCTGAGGTAACGATGTTTATTCGAAGCATGAGTAGGGATAACAACAACCTTTACTACAGAGAGAGAGCTTTTATCACCCATCCAGTAGTAAAATACATTACAGGTGTGTCCACCAAAGGCTGTGTCTTAAAGGCACACTATACTACAATATAAACTCCATTTTCCTAGTTTCCAACAGACCTCACAACCTCTGAGGGTGCCTGCCATATATGCAGGCGAAACACCAGGAGAGAATGCTTCTGGAACATAGCCAGACAACCTGAAAAAATCACAGCAACCCAGTGATTCCAGTCATGAAAGCTTTCTACAATACATTGAATTCATTCTAGCACGGAGAGCACCCTCAGCCTGCAAGTGGGCTTGGAGTTATTTTGCATGCATTCAATTGAACACACACATCCATCCAATGTGCCTCCAGCATCCTTGTTGTTTTTTTAACACATTTGCCCTGGGTGGCTGCGTTGTGCCTTCTCCTTCCTGCCTGCCTCTCCTCCCTTTACATTAAGTGGCTCCTTGATTAATTATAGATCGAGGGAAAGAGGCTTTTATGGCATCGGAGTTTCCTAGTGTGATGCAGCCCCTCTTTAGTTTTTTAAGAAGTAATTATGAACTGGAGCGTAAAAGATACTCTTGGCTTAATATATAACAGGGTCAGAGGAATCATGATGAGCTCGAAGGCTGGATTTGGGGTGAGAGGGGGATGGTAAAGGGAAAAGAGTGAATGAGAATGAAGGAGAGAGAAGAAGGAAGGGAAAAGAGGAGGAAGGAGGAAAAAGTATAATACAAAGAAAGGAGGAAGGAGAAAAATGTGGGGAGAAGGAGTAGAGAATGGAAGAGAGGAGAAAAAATCAAAGGGAAGAGAAAAGAGGAGAAAAAATGGGAAGAAGGAGAAGAGGACTGAAGAAAGAAAAGAGAAAATAGAGGAGAGTTGAAAAGGAAAGGGAAAAGGGGAGGAAGAGTGAGAAGAAGGGAAAGAGAAGGAAAAGGAAGAAGAGAGGGGACGAGGAGGTCAATGAGGAGCAGGAGGAGGAGGAGAGAAGGAAGTGGAAGCATTGTGGAACAGAAAGACCAAGAGGGTGCGTGGCTCGAGAGCAGTACGTGTGAAAAAGATCTTGGAGTCCTCATGGACAACAAGTTAAACATGAGCCAACAATGTCATGCGGCAGCAAAAAAAGCCAATGGGATTTTGGCCTGCATCAATAGGAGCATAGTGTCTAGATCCAGGGAAGTCATGCTCCCCATGCTCTATTCTGTCTTAGTTAGACCACACCTGGAATATTGTACCCAATTCTTGGCACCACAATTTAAGAGAGATATTGACAAGCTGGAATGTGTCCAGAGGAGGGTGTCTAAAATGTTCAAGGGTCTGGAGAACAAGCCCTATGAGGAGCAGCTTAAAGAGCTGGGCATGTTTAGCTTGAAGAAGAGAAGGCTGAGAGGAGACATGATTACATTAAAACATTAAAAACAATTCATTAAAACAGCAGATTAGTCACGCCAATTTAAGACCAAGTCCAAGTCTGGAATTAATTCATATGCAGGGCTTCTCTGGGATTTTATGTGAATATTTATTTGTTTTACAAAGGAACTGAATGTTTGCCATTATGTTGGAATCCGCCGTGAGTCCCCTTGGGGAGATAGGGCGGAATACAAATAAAGTTTTATTTTATTTTTTATTATCCGGCCTCTGATTGAGGTTCCGCGTTTTAGCCTGCCACTTTTGGACTCTCATTTGCTGAGGTGTTCCTGTGAGTATCTCTGTAGATCTTAGGAAGTTATTTCTTGATTTAAGGCATTGTCATGTTGGTTAATATCCAAACAGAGGATGGATGAGAGGTGTCACTGCTTTGGTCCTTTCATTATTGGCTGCTACTGTCAGATGGTGCAATACAGGCCAAACAGTATCATTTCTCCAGTGATGTTGGGCGTAGACATCCTGTGATAATGTGGCATGTCTCATTAAGAGCCACATCCACTGTTTTAATGTGGTGAGATGTATTCTACACTGGGTATGCGTACTCAGCAGCAGAGTAGCAAAGCGCAAGGGCAGGTGTCTTCACTGTGCTTGGTTGTGATCCCTAGATTGTGCCAATCAGCTTTCATACGATACTATTTCTAGCACCCACTTTTTTGTTGTCGATGGCTTTCATGGCTGGAATCACTGGGTTGCTGTGAGTTTTCTGGGCCATATGGCCACGTTCCATAAGCATTCTCTCCTGACGTTTCCCCACTTTTCGCTTGATATTCAAGTAGTGCTCCTTGTAGGTCAGATCATGGTCCAGAGTGACTCCCGGGTATTTGAATGTACTGCAATGCTCCAGTGGGATTCCTTCCCAGGTCATCCTCAGAGGTCTAGATGCTTGTCTGTTCTAAAGGGGAAAAGCACACATCTGCATTTTAGATGGATTAGGTATCAGCTGGTTTTCTCAGTAACAGGCAGTAAGAGCACCTAGAGCTTCGGAGAGCTTTTAAAGTAGTCAAAGTGGTGTCAAACTGTATTAACTCTATAGTGTTGTTGCACCCTGCGACACTTGCCTCCAAACCACACAGAGGAATGTTAACACCAGGAAATAAAACATCTTGCAGGTTGTTGTAGGGTTTTTTGGGCTATATGGCCATGTTCTAGAGGCATTCTCTCCTGACGTTTCGCTTGCATCTATGGCAAATATCCTCAGAGGTTGTGAGGTCACAATCTCTGAGGATCCTTGCCACAGATGCAGGCGAAACATCAGGAGAGGATGCCTCTAGAACACGGCCATATAGCCCAAAAAACCTACAACAACCTGAAGTCGATAGGAACTTTAGAAGAGTCTATCCCAGGACCCTGCTGCCCCACCAAAGAGGGATCGCTACATTGGTGAGCAAAGAGAAGCCTAATTTTAAGCAATTTATTTTCCCTAAGTTCCCAAAAAGAATCTCACCAAAGTTGAAGAAAGTGCCACCGAGGTTTATTAGCGATTCAGCTGAAAAGGATGCAAAGCGGCAATCATTTGCCAAGCTAAGCATGAAGTTACACAAATAAATGCCATTTTTATAGAAAATACAGAGTTGTGTGGTTCAAATCTCCCACTCCCCCCTCTCGCCCAGCTCGAAGGGGATTGGCTGATACGCAAACAGCTGGGAGGAGGCTTGGCCATCCTCCATGTGTCAGGGCCAATCACAGGGCTTCCGTGGTGCGCCAGAGCCAATCAGGAGGCTCCTTCCACCTCTTTGCTCCATTTAATCAGAAGAGAGGGGGGCGGGACGAAGGAATACAATGCATTCTTGAATGGATTATGGAGTTAAATGTCCAGGAGGCTTAACGAGTCCGGAATCGGCCTGCCAGAAAAGCCAATCTTATTGTCTTGAGATTGGTTTGAGATAAGCATTGATCACTTAATCTGGGTTTTCCTCTTGTGATCAGATAGGGCACAAAGGGGGTGACTTTGGTGAATGTCTTCAGTGGAAAGGTTTGAAAGAAAAAATGGGTTGGGGGAAAAAGGGCTTTCCAAAGGTCATCTTTCCCCCATTGTTTTATGATTAAAAAGTCTGCCAAGTGAATATCCTCTTGATGGCCCAACTACGAAGTAAAGAAAGACATTTCTTTGTTATTTTCCATGCAAATAAAGTTCTAAGATAAGGGTCTTCACAATCGCTAATTGCTTTTTTCAGAGGCAGGGCAACTTCCTTATACATTTTCCTCAAGGAGAGGGGAAGGGGGCAAAAGGGTCAGGGCAAGGTCAGATTCATGAAGGGGAAATATTGAAATACAGGAGAAAATATGAAAATATAGAAATCATAATACAGAGAGTAAACCCAACTGCCCTCCCCCAGTGTCCATAGTTCATATTATTTATTTATTTATTTCAATTACTTCTACCCCGCCCTTCTCACCCCCGAGGGGGGACTCAGGGCGGCTTACAAACGAAGGCACAATTCGATGCCTAAATCAATGAACAAACAATACATAAAAGCAATTTAAACAATTAACAAGTTAAAAACATTAATGCATAGTAAAATAGCAAAACAATCTCATACTCAGTGTTCAGAGTCCGTTTATCCATTCCATTCTGTTCGCCCATGTTTATCGTCAGATCTTCCCTTAACTGCCAGAATGTCCAAAAGCTTGGTCCCATATCCAGGTCTTCAATTTTTTCCTGAACGCCAAAAGGGAAATCGCTGATCTAATCTCCCCGGGGAGTGAGTTCCACAGGTGAGGGGCCACCACTGAGAAGGCCCTGCTCCTCGTCCCCGCCAACCTCACTTGTGATAGTGGTGGGGTTGAGAGCAGGGCCTCCCCAGACGATCTTAAATTTCGAGATGGGAAATTTCTATTATTCCTATTATTCCTAGGAAGGTCCATAAAGGGAAATATATCCATGAGAGGGAAAGAGAGTCCCTTGTTTGTGAGATGGGGGACCATCAGGAGCCCAGGTGTATCTCAGATGGAAAAAGTCAAATACTTTAGTGGCATGATTTTCAGTAATAAATTGGTTACTTTCTGCTGTAAACATATGAAAATAGAGCATAAAGCCTTGATTAAATGATACACACCAAACTGACCAAGGCTTAACCCTTATTATCCAGTCTGGTGTCCTTGCCCTTAGCAAAACTATAAGTTACTATCTTTAATTGGGGGGGAGGGGGTCATGATCGACTTGAAACCCAGTGATTCCAGCCATGAAAGCCTTCGACAATACATAAAACATCTTGTACTTCTTTTACAACTTGGCTTGACTGATTCTGAGTTTTAAAATGCAGCAAAAACTAAGTATTACATTAAAAGGAACTAAAAGACCCTAATACAGAGCCAAAGAAAAGGAAGGGAAAAAAAGAGTACTAACGCTATGCTGCTTCAATGGCCAGCTGCCACACTTTGCTTGAATGACATCAAGAGGAACTTTTATCATAGGCATTTGTTCCCGCAGGGAACGGCTTTAGAAATCGGACCACTATAAGGGGCTCCAACTTCCGGTGCTTCGCAGAGGAGAATCATCGTCCTTCGAAGCCGGGTGGGCGAGAGCGGAAGAAGAGGAGGTGTGGCAATTATTTCCTTCCCCCACTATTTTTTCCCCCTCTCCCCTTCTTGACTCTAGTAAAAATGCTAAAGATCCTAATGATTGTGTTTCCTACAGTTAGGGGATTCAGGGCACTGTAGTCCAGCAAAGTGTGACCTCAGTGCTTCCTTCTAAATAGTTTTAGTGGTTTTAATAACCACGCGTTGCTGTGATCCTCATCTGGGTTCTGTGTGGGAGGTTTGGCCCAATTCTATCATTGGTGGGGTTCAGAATGCTCTGTGATTGTAGGTGAACTATAAATCCCAGCAAGTACAACTCCCAAATGTCAAGATTCTATTTCCCCCCAAACTCCACCAGTGTTCACATTTGGGGATATTGAGGATTCGTGCCAAGTTTGGTCCAGATCGATCATTGTTTGAGTCCACAGTGATCTCTGGATGTAGGTGAACTACAACTCCAAAAACAAAGGACACTGCCCACCAAACCCTTCCAGTATTTTCTGTTGGTCATGGGAGAAATGTGTGCCAAGTTTGGTTCAATTCCATCGTTGGTGGGGTTCAGAATGCTCTTTGATTGTAGGTGAACTATAAATCCCAGCAACTACAACTCCCAAATGACAAAATCAATTTTATTGAAATGAAGGACATACATTGGGTTGTTAGGTGTCTTGTGTCCAAATTTGGTGTCAATTTATCCAGTGGGGTTTGAGTTCTGTTAATCCCAGAAATGAACATTACATTTTTATTTACATAGATGGATGCAAGAGCTGGACTATAAGGAAGGCTGAGTGAAGGAAGAGAGACGCTTTTGAACTGTGATGCTGAAGGAAAATCCTTAGAGTGCCTTGGATCTCGAGAAGATTCAAACAGCCCATCTCCCAGGAAGTAAAGCCCAACTGCTCACTGAAGGGAAGGAGATTAGAGACAAAGATGAACTCCTTTGGCCACATAATGAGAAAACAGGAAAGCTTAGGGAAGACAATAATGCTTGGGAAAATGGAAGAAAAAAGGAAGAGGGGTGAACCAAGGACAAGGTGGGTGGATGGTATCCTTGACGTGACCGGCTTGGCTCTCAAGGAGCTGGGGGTGGTGACGGCCAACAGGGAGCTCTGGCGTGGGCTGGTCCAGGAGGTCACAAAGACTTGGAAGTGACTGAACAAATAAACAACAACAATGGCTCATTGTGTTGTTGCTATTATTATAATTGTTTTATTGTTGCTGTTTATTCGTTCAGTCATTTCCAACTCTTTGTGACGTCATGGATGATCCCAGGCCAGAGCTCCCTGTTGGCTCCTTCAAGGACAAGCCAGTCACTTCAAGGATACCATCCACCTACCTTGCCCTTGGTTGGCCCCTCTTCCTTTTTCCTTCCCTTTTCCCAACATCATTCTCTTCTCCAAGCTGTTATGTCTTCTCATTATATTTATTGGAGCCCCCGGTGGCGCAGTGGGTTAAACCCCTGTGCCGGCAGGACTGAAGACCGACAGGTCACAGGTTCGAATCTGAGGAGAGGTGGATGAGCTCCCTCTATCAGCTCCAGGTTCTCATGCGGGGACATGAGAGAAGCCTCCCACAAGGATGATAAAAACATCAAATCATCCGGGCGTCCCCTGGGCAACGTCCTTGCAGACAGCCAATTCTCTCACACCAGAAGTGACTTGCAGTTTCTCAAGTCGCTCCTGACACGACAAATATATATATATATATATATATATATATATATATATATATATATATATAATGCATTTCTACCCCAACCTTCTCCCCCAAAAGGGGGACTCAGGGTGGCCTCACATAAGCATCATGTGATGCTGTCAACAAATAAACAACAAGGGTTACAATTAAAACAGTAAAAATCATTAAAACACATTATACAGAGTCATTACTAAGTTCATTAAACAATAAATTAAAATGCCAGTTAAAACCAAGACCAAGTCGGGTAAATCCAATGTCACATATGTCGTAACTTTTTCTTCCAATTGTCGCTGTCCACTAGATGAACGCCTGGTCCCAAAGCCAAGTCTTCAATTGTCCTCTAAAGGACAGGAGGGAGGTGGCCATCCTGATGTCCTTAGGAAAGGAATTCCACAGATGAGGGGCCACTGCTGAGAAGGCCCTGTCCCTCGTCCCCACCAACCACGTTTGTGAGAGTGGTGGGATTGAGAGCAGGGCCTCCTCTGATGATCTTAAGCTTCGTGATGGTTCGTAACAGCAGATACGTTCGGACAGGTACTTCATCTTTGCCTGTAATATCCTTCCTTCCAGTGAGCAGCCGGGCATTATTTCCTGGAGGATGGACTGGTTTGATCTTCTTGTGGTCCAAGGCACTCTCAGAATTTTCCTCCAGCACCACAGTTCAAAAGCGTCTCCCTTCCTTCACTCAGCCCTCCTTATGGTCTAGCTCTCGCATCCATAGGTTACTACGGGGAATACTATTGCTTTAACTATGTGGATCTTCACTGCCAGTGTGATGTCTCTTCACAATTTTATCAAGACTGATCATTGCTGTCCTTCCAAGAAGGAAACACAAACACATTTTCACTTTCATTATGTGTATAGGTATCAATACATCTTGTATCTCTTGATTGAGATGCAAAGCTGCTGTCAACATTAAGGAGCCAGGGCAATTTAAAATCCACAACATACAAGTATTAAAACAGAATTGAACAAACCAGTCCATTCAAATCCCTTAAAATATGTTACATTTAAAATTTAACTTTGGGTGAATTAATGAAGTTTGACATGACTTTAACTGTCATGGCTCAATGCAATGGAACAATATAAGTTGTAATTTTACAAGGTCTTTAACCTCTGGCAAAGTGTTCTACAACTCCTAGGATTCCATTGCATTGATCCATGGCAGTCAAATTGCATTCATTCTACAGTGTAGATGCACCTTTAGGCCCTGGTTGCCAAAACGTTGTGTTTACTTGCATAAATAGCTTGGTATTCTGCTTGTTGTCATTTGTGTCTTATGATAACGAACTCAATAGTTATCATGACATAAAGTTTGCTTAACTTTATCTCATGGCCAGGTTGGCCTTGCTTCCTTCAATCCTTTTCTTTAGATATCCTTTTCTTTATTTCTCCTTGTTTTATAAAAAAGGTTGCATTTGTCACAGAGGAAAATGAGAGAACCAAAACATTGAGGATTAATATTTGGTTGAATTGAAGTGTAAGAGATTCGCTTAGCAGGATCAAATGATTGTGAATTTACTCCTTCGTCTGCACGTAATGAAAGAGAAGTTGCGATGGGCACATCTATACTGTGGAATTGATGCAATTTGGCACTACTTTAACTGCCATTATTTGCCAAGTTCTTGACCTTCTAACAGACCTACTCAAATCTATTTTAACCGGTTACTTTTAAATTCATTTTATAGATATGATTACTTTCAATGTATGTTTGCTCTTAGTCACCAATAGCGGGAAAAAGGCAGGGAAAAAAAAAATAAAGCCAATAAGTAAATACGTTTCAATCTTGTCAATGTGCTTAAATGGGTTTGTGTTGTTGAAGGCTTCCATGGCTGGAATTGCTGAGTTCCTGTGAGCTTTCCAGGCTGTATGGCCTTGTCCCAGAAGCATTCTCTCCTGACATTTCACCCACATCTGTGGCAGGCATCCTCAGAGGTTGTGAGATCTGTTGGAAACTGGGCAAGTGGAATTTATATATCTCTGGAATAATGTCCAGGGTGGGAGAAAGAACTCTTGTCTGCTGGAGGCAAGTGTGAATGTTGTAATTGGCCAGCTTGATTCGCATTCACATAAGCCTGCTCACAGCAACCCAGTTAAATGGGTTTGTTTTTATCTATTGTCATATATTACATTCTATTTCTGTTGTATCCCATCTCAACTCAAACCTTGAAGAGATGTGGGTAAGAAATAAATTATTATTATTATTATATCTAATGACGTTTTTAATCTGTTGTATTTTAGTTTTGTTGTATCCCTGATCCAACCTTGGAGAAAGGCAAATAAGCAATAATAATAATAATAATAATAATAATAATAATAAATGATATTAGTACGGTTTCTATGGTTAAGCAGGATTTGAACCCTGGTTTCCCAGTTCACCATTCAAGCCACTCTGCCATGATGGCTCTCTATTAATGGTTTTCATGTTCAAAGTTCTTCTTCTTCTTTTTTTTGGGAAACAGCTTTGAAGCTGGAAGTGATTTGCCTTTTCCTAACAACTTTCACTCCTCCCCTCCATATTTTCTCTCCTTTTCTCCCCTCCCTATTTGGTGGCACTTCTTTAGACAAATGTGTAAAATGGAAAGAGGGAAGCGGTTGTCATCGGATATGTCTTTCCTTCTCCGTCGATGCATGACACATTCGATTCAAGCCCTTCCCACGCATAATACGCTGCTTCTTGCGCAGTGGTTTTAAAAGTGGCGAAGGTGGATGTGACAAAAACCTTCAGACTTTTCGCTTGGATAAGAGTTCAGTTTGCATTATATGAATCTGCACTGATGCAGTTCGAGCTCTATTATATGGCTGTGTAGATGGGGCCCAAGTGATCCTATTGCAGGGTTGTTGTTATTTTTAGCAAGATATATTCTGCGGAGATTTTCTTTTGCCTTCATCTGAGACTGAGAGACCATGACTTGTCCAAGATGAGTTTTCGTATCCAAATGGAGCCAAACCTTGATGGCTAGTGTCATCATCCAGCATCCCAAACTCATTTTTATATATCTGTTTAATAGCAAATATACAACATTCTTATCCATTCTTGAGTTTCTCTTCTGTCTCCAAGATCTGAGATAAGAGTTTCAGAGTTTATGTTAAACTGATGATAATCTTTTAATGGTCTCTCTTCTTAGCCGGAAAATGATTATTTAGTGTGAGAGAATGCTGTTTGGCTTTTCATTCATAGAAAAGTTGCTATGGCAGTCTGTGAATTAAAAAAAAGAATATTGTTGGGAGCTCAAGGTTTGAATCCCTACATAACCTATTATTATTATTTGTCTCTCCCAAAGTTGGAGGAAGTGTGTAGTATTTGTAATTTGTATTATTTTTCATTTTGAATTGTTTTCAAACTATCTATATATAAAAAATTATTATTGAGTCTGGCAGAATCTGGCGCAGCGGGTTAAACTACTGAGCTGCTGAGCAGCTATTTGAATCTGGGGAGCAGGGTGAGCTCCCACTGTTAGACCCAGCTTCTGCCAACTTAGCAGTTTGAAAACATGCAAATGTGAGTAGATCAACAGGTATTGCTCCAGCGGGAAGGTAACGGCGCTCCATGCAGTCATGACCTTGGTGGTGTCTACGGACAACGCCGGCTATTTGGCTTAGAAATTGACATGAGTACCACCCCCAAGAGTCGGACATGACTAGACGTTATGTCAAATGAAAGCGTTTACCTTTACCTTTTGCAATAATAGGAAATTTTGAATATATATATATATATATATATATATAGATAGATAGTAGGGTTGCCTTTGAGGTTGAGGCATGTTTTTGCTTGCAGTATTTGTAATTGATATTGTTTTTTTAGTTTCGAGCTGCTTTGGGTCTCATTTAAGAGAGGAAAGCAGGATATAGATATATAAATAAATATAATAAATAACATAATGTAAGATAGGTAAAGGTTTTCCCCTGACATTAAGTCCAGTCGTGTCTGACTCTGGGGTGTGGTGCTCATCTCCATTTCTAAGCCGAAGAGTTGTCCGTAGACTTCTCCTAGGTCATGTGGCCAGCATGACTGCATGGAGCACTGTTACCTTCCCACCGGAGCGATACCTATTGATCTATGCACATTTGCATGTTTTCAAACTGCTAAATTGGCAGAAGCTGGGGCTGACAGCGGAAGCTCACGCTGCTCTCCGGAATTGAACTTGCAACCTTTTGGTCAACAAACTCAGCAGCTTAGTGCTTTAATCCACTGCACCACTGGGGATATAATAATATATTTTGAGATGCTGCATATTGATTGGATTCTTTGTTTCCTTCCTCCAGCCTCAGCAAAAATGTTGAAGTTTTCCAAAGGGTGTTCCCTGATTCGATTCTTTGCTCACAGTCCTTCTCTCCTGGGATGGACCTTACCCAGCTTTAGGACTTCCTTCTGTTTCTCCAAATGTCTTCATTCCAGCTACGGACATGTTTCCCCTGCCTTCACTAGAGCTCTGGCGTTCGGAGAGAAAATTGCCATAGTGGATCGAAATGGAGAGCATACCTATCGGGAGGTCTATGCCCGAAGCCTCCAACTCTCCTGGAGAATCTGTAAAACTCTTGGGAATGTGAATGGAGACCTGAAAGGAGAAAGGATTGCCTTTTTGTGCCCCAACGATGCCTCCTATGTCACAGCCCAGTGGGCCTCCTGGATGAGTGGCGCCATTGCCGTTCCTCTTTACCGAAAGCACCCCATGCCAGAACTGGAGTATTTCATTCAGGATTCACAAAGTGCCCTCCTCGTTGTAGAGGAAGGCTACTTGGACAAGGTCACTCCAAGTGCAGAGAGACTAGGGATTCCTGTACTCCCCCTTCTGGGCTCTGGGAAATCGGACATGGTGGCAAATGGGTCCCTTTTAGAAGCCGGCTGTCCCATTTCGGAGTGGAAGGACCGGGGCGCCATGATCGTCTACACAAGTGGCACAACTGGGAGGCCCAAGGGAGTCCTCAGCACCCATCAGAACCTTCAAGCTGTGGTGAGGGTCTTTTTAAAATTTATTTTTATTCAAAAATAAAGGAAAAGATGAGAAACAAAACAAAAAAATATCAAAAAACTGCAGTTTTTCATCAGTATGTATCAGTGGTTCCCAAATAACCAAACTGAATGTAAAGTTGACCAAAAATTGATTTGTAACCCTTTTGGTATTAATGTTGGAGAGTGGTCCCTGGTCAAAGTGGTCCCTGGTCAAATGGTCCTTGGTCAAAAGAAGGTTGGGAACCACAGATAGATAGATAGATAGATAGATAGATAGATAGATAGATAGATAGATAGATAGATAGACAGAGAGAGAGAGAGAGAGAGAGAGAGAGATGTTTGTATGTGTATTTATGTTTATGTGTGTGTGTGTGTGTGTATTTGTTGTTGTTTATTCATTCAGTCATTTCCGACTCTTTGTTATCTCCTGGCCCAGCCCAGGCTGAGGTCCCTGTCGGCCATGGCCACCCCCAGTTCCTTCAAAGTCATGCCAGTCCCTTCAAGGATAACATCAATCCTTCTTGCCCTTAGTCAGCCCCTCTTTTAGTTTTTCAATACTGGTAGCTAGATTGTGTTTGTTTTCATGGTTTCCCCCTTTCTGTTGAAATTGTCCACCTGCTTGTGGATTTCAATGGATTCTCAGTGTAGCCTGACATGGTGGTTGTCAGAGTGGTCCAGCATTTCTGTGTTTTCAAATAATATGCTGTGTCCAGGTTAGTTCATCAAGTGCTCTGTTATGGCTGACTCAAAAATTAGGACAGTAAATAAAGAGCAACAGGGGAATTCCAGATATGAAACAATCAGAACCAGCTAACACCTCCCAACAAAGGATTCCCTCATGCAGGAATCAACCAGGTCTTGAGCTGCAAGGCTTTTCAGTGCTAATCAAGGTGATTAACTGCAACATTCACACTTGTCTCCAACAGACAAGAGTTCTTTCTCCCACCTTGGCCCTTCCACAGATATATAAACCCCACTTGCCAAGTTTCCAACAGACCTCACAACCTCTGAGGATGCCTGCCATAGATGTGGACGAAACATCAGGAGATAATGCTTCTGGAAATGGCCAAACAGCCCAGAAAACTCACAGTAACACAGTGATTCCAGCCATGAAAGCCTTCAACAACACATTTTTAAAAGTTGAAATTTCAGTTTCAGGTATCCAAAACATACTCTCCCTTGAAACCTCTTGGTATATGCACTCGGAGACAAAAAACAAAGTTTTTTGAAATTAACATGCTGTGTTTACTCACAAACATCTTGCATCAATTCCCACATAAGGCACATTTCTTATTAAAGTTCAGTTATAGATAGGATGTAGTTCTCTGTGTTGAGAACACAGGGCATCATTCTTAATCAGTAATCCATAGTCCAAAGTCTTTACGTATACATCTTATGAAAGTCCAAACTGGATAATTTTACTCACTTCTTCTCAAAGCAAACATATAGTAAACTGTTCCTGCATAAGTCCAAAAATATACTGTTTCCATTGAAGTCTAAAAACATATTTATTCCACCGAAGTCAAAACATACTGTTACCAAAATGAAGTGTTGAGTCTGAACGTGCTCAATATAATCACATGTGTGTAGCCCATCCCACACCAAAGAGGTCAGTCAAACTGGCTGGCCAATATATACATATAATACAGTACAGATTAGCACATATATAAATTAACAAACAAATAGTGAAGGCTTGGAAGGTTTCTATTTCCAACAACAATAGTGTGGGACCCCTGGTTATTTTGTTTTATTGATTCGTCTAAATGTCTCCTTCCAGATCACTGGGCTGGTGGACAAATGGGAGTGGACTAAGGATGATGTGATTCTCCATGTGTTGCCTCTGCATCATGTCCACGGCATCGTCAACAAGCTCCTGTGTCCCCTCTGGGTGGGAGCCACCTGCGTCATGCTCCCTGAGTTCAATGCACAGGCGGTAAGTGTCCTCCTTCAGGTCCAAAATGCAATACAGGTGGTGTCTCTCTAGTCCAAAATGCTTGTCACCAGAAGTGTATTGGGTTTAGAATGCCTGTGTTTGCATCTCTATCCATAAAGAGATATCTGGGAGACAGGGCCAAGTCTAACCAAAAAAGTCAGGTTTCATATACACCTTTTTATACACATAGACAGAAGGTCCTCTTAGAAGTTAGATCAACATTTGTAATCATTTTGTTCCTGAAACAACAGCCAAAAAAAGGTTGATGATTCCTTATCCAGAAATACTCTAAAATGACCCATGTCTGTGGCTATCACTGGATAATTTTGGGTTTTTGGAGTATTTGGGAAATCTGGATTATTTTATTTATTTATCGTGTCAGGAGCAGACCGAACAGTTGCATTGCATTTTTTAACAAACAAACAAACAAACAAAACACAAAGTTTGCAAGCTTGCTAGCTGATTAAATGTCCTTTGACCAGTAGCTGGCCACTTGGAGTGCCTCTGGTGTTGCTGCAAGGAGGCCCTCCATTGTGCATGTGGCAGGGCTCAGTTTGCATTGCAGCAGGTGGTCGCGTGTCGTGGATTCCACTTTGTGGCCCCATTTCTTAAGGTTGGCTCTGCATCTCGTGGTGCCAGAGCGCAGTCTGTTCAGCGCCATCCAAGTTGCCCAGTCTTCTGTGTGCCCAGGGGTGAGTCTCTCATTTGGTATCAGCCATTGATTGAGGAAATCTGGATAAGGGAGAAGAACAAAAATGGAGGACTCAGAGGCTTGCCATGAGGCCGGAAACTTTGAATAAAATGAGGCATGTCCCTGAGAAGCATCAGTCTAACAAACAGGAGAAATGGGAGGAGAGAGACAGACAAAGAGGCCATTAGGGGAAGGCCTTTCCCTGCCAGCTAACTCATCTGCCTATCGATTTTCTTTATGAGGACTGTAAACTTGTGCAGAATGTTGTTGAGTTCCAACAATGCTCAATCTGTACTGCCCTGCAGCAATTTTCTCCTTGTTTGTTTTTAATGGAATGGAGCCAACAACACTCCTGGCTGGACTCCTCCAAACTTGGTTGTATTTTCTGACAAGGCATTCCTATCATGCTCTTGCTCTAGCCCACTGTTTCTCAACCTGGGGGTCAGGACCCCTGGAGGTGTTGTGAGGGGGTGTTAGAGGGGTTTCCAAAGACAATCAGAAAACACAGTATTTTCTGTTGGTCATAGAGATTCTGTGTGGGAAGTTTGGCCCAATTTTATCATTGGTGGGGTTCAGAATGCTCTTTGATTGTCGGTGAACTATTAATCCCAGCAAGTACCAAATATCAAGATCTATTTCCCTCAAAGTTCACCAGTGTTCACATTTAGGAATATTGATGATTCGTGCCAAGTTTGGTCCAGATCTATCATTGTTTAAGTCCACAGTACTCTCTGGATGTAGGTGAACTACAACTCCAAAACTTAAGGTCAGTACTCACCAAATTCTTCCAGTATTTTCTGTCGGTAATGGGAGTTCTATGTACCAAGTTTACTTCAGTTCCATCATTGGTGGAGTTCAGAATGCTCTTTGATTGTAGGTGAATAATAAATCCCAGCAACTGCAACTCCCAAACAACGACACTTATCCCCCATATTTAGGCACATTGGGTATTTGTGCGAAATTTGGTCCTCTAAATGAAAATACATCATGTGCCTATCAAATATTTACATTATGATTCTCAACAGTAGCAAAATGGCAGTTATGAAGTAGCAACGAATATAATGTTATGGTTGGGGGTCACCACAACAGGAGGAACTGTATTAAGGTGTCGTGGCATTAGGAAAGTTGAGAAACACTGCTCTAGCCAATTGAGTGCCTTGTGATGCTGAGGAGTATTGGTTAAAAAAAAAAACCCTGCAGTGGTGGATAGTCTCTCTCTCTCCCACGACAAGGGCATAAATCCCATGCCAGATGCTGAGATCACGGCTGTGTGAGAGGAGACAGCTTTGATGTGAGCGCTCCATCCCTGGAGAGTGCGCCGCAGCAGCGGAGGAGCGGATGAAAGGCGCAGCATCAGCTCCATCATCAGCACTTTTGATGTGAGAAGGGAGCAAAGGAGGGGAAGAAGACCTTTGGGAATGCTCTGGGAACGCCATCAGCCTGAATTGTTTAAGAGATGGGAAAAGGAGGGGGGAAGCATTTATTTAAAATTGATTTTCTTTGTCAGGTATAAATTCAATTGTACTCCTGTTACTGCCATTCTCAGACAAAGCTGTGGATTCAGGGAGGAAATATTTTGGAACCGTAGTTCCCTAACTTCAAGCTTTTCCTTTTTTGTTCCCTGGGGCTTTCAGTGTTCTCCTCCTATCCCTCATTCAGACACACTCAATGTCTTTGTTGTTTATGGCTGCCGTTCATTTTCTGGTCCCAATTCAAGGTGCAGGTTCTTACCTACAAAACCCTGAACAGTTTGGGACCCGCCTACCTGCGTGACCGCATTTCTGTGTACAAACCCACACGATCTCTTCGATCATCTGGAGAGACCCTGCTCGCAATCCTGCCTCCTTCGCAGGTGCGATTGGTGGGGACGAGGGAGAGGGCCTTTTCGGTGATAGCCCCTCGATTCTGAAACTCACTTCCCAAGGACATCAGACATGCGTCAACATTGGCAGTCTTTAGGAGGAGCCTGAAAACGTGGCTGTTCCAGTGTGCCTTCCCAGAATAAGGAAAATTCCCAGCAATATGTCCTCAGAATGCACTTTACTATTGATTTAGGATGGACTGCGCTCCCTCATTTAAAATCCTATACCAGATATATCCTAACTTGCTCATGCCCAGTTTTTATTTTTTTAATTTTAAACTATTACATTTGGCCCGGCCATAGGTTATTGTTTATTGGTTATTGTTTATATGTGATTTATATTAATTGTATTGTATTTATGGTTTTGTTTATTGCTTTTTGTTTTTATTGATGTGTTGTTGGGCTTGGCCTCATGTAAGCCGCTCCGAGTCCCTTGGGGAGATGGTGGCAGGGTATAAATAAAGCATTATTATTATTATTATTATTATTATTATTATTATTATTTTATTATTCATTCAGTCGCTTCCGACTTTTTGTGACCTCCTAGTCCAGCCCTGTCGGATGAGGCCACTCCCAGCTCTTTCAATGTGGAGTCAGTCACTTCAAGGATACCCTCCATCTATCTTGTCCTTGGTCGGCCCCTCTTCCTTCCATTTTCCCCAGCATTATTGTCTTCTCCAAGCTTTCCTGTCTTCTCATTATGTGGCCAAAGTGCTTCATCTTTACCTCTAATCTCCTTCCCTCCAGCAAGCAGTTGGGCTTTCTTTCCTGGAGGATGGACTGGTTGGATCTTCTTGTGGTCCAGGGATTTTCCTCCAGCACCACAGTTTAAAAACATGTCTCTTCCTTTGCTCAGCCTGCCTTATGGTCCAGCTCTCGCACCCGTATGTTACTACAGGGAATACCATTGCTTTAACTATGTGGACCTTCGTTTCCAGTGTGATATCTTTCCTTGTCACTCTTTTATCGAGATTGGTCCTTGCTCTCCTCCCAAGAAGGAAACATCTTCTGATTTCCTGGTTGCAGTCCACGTCTACAGTCATCTTTGCGCCTAGAAATAAAAAGTTTGTCTCTGCCTCCATGTTTTCTCCCTCTATTTGCCAGTTATCCATCAGCCTGGTTGCCATCATCATGGTTTTTTGATGTTTCACTGCAACCCAGCTTTTGCCCTTTCTTCTTTCACCTTGCTTATCAGGCTCCTCAGCTCCTCCTCGCTTTCAGCCATCAAAGTGGTATCATCTGCATATCTAAGGTTATTAATGTTTCATCCAGCAATTTTAACTCCAGCCTTGGATTTGTCAAGCCCCGCACATTTCATGATGTGTTCTGCCTACAAGTTGAATAGGTTGGGTGAGAGTAGAGAGCCCTTTCCCAATCTGGAACCAGTCTGTTGTTCCATGGTCTGTTCTTGCTGTTGCTATTTGGTCATTATACAGGTTCTTCAGGAGACAGACAAACTGGCTTGATTTCCCCATACCCAATGTTTACTGCTCTGCACATTCATTTTGTTGCTATTGTCTGCCTTCAATTAACTTATAACAACCCTATGGCAAATCTACTATAGAGCTTTTGGGGCCCACATCATTGTCCAATACTCAAGCCACTGTGCCATGTATTATAATTATTATTACTGTTTCTACTATTAGTATTATGTTTACTTATACTCCACTTTATCTCTCCTGAAGGAGACTCAGAGCTTACTTACAAGTATCACCACACAATTTAAAATATACAAATATGCAAACATTAAAACAGAATTAACATGACAGTATGAAAAATAGGAACCGAAAGGGTTTTAGATCTGATTTGGCTGAAAAAAGGGGCCTCTGAACTGTTTGGAAACCCGGTTCAACACAGAGGGGAAAATTTCACATAATTTTGCATAATTTCCCACCAACATTTGTCCATCCTACAAACTATAGGGAAACGACTTCAGACTACAGGAAACTACAAACTACTTCAAACTACAGGAAAGGAGATTCCACCAGAACATGAGGAAGAACTGCCTCACTGTGAGAGAGAGCTGTTCAGCAGTGGAACTCTCTCCCTCGGGGTGCAGTGGAGCCTCCTTTTTTGGACGCTTTTAAGCAGAGGCCGGATGGCCATCTGTTAAGGGTGCTTTAAATGTAATTTTCCTGCTTCTTGGCAGAATGGGGTTGGACTGGATGGCCCACGAGGTCTCTTCCAACTCTAGGATAATATGATTCTACAAGGGTTGAATGAAAAGTAATGCCTCCACCTTCGTAACTCCTCAACAGATGGCAGTACTGGTATGCAGCAGGTACTGGCTTGTTCAGTAGACTCTCCTCTACAGTTCCATTTTGGCAGGAAGCCTTAGCTTTGAACAGTTGTGTTGTTAAAGTGCGAAGTATGGAACCCTGCGCAGACGGTCGGTCAATACGACTTAAGCAACGTACAGTCATTGAATTCTTGACAGCAGAAGGTGTC